CATGTTGACAAAAGCATGCAGGGCCATTAATCACATCCTGCTCCGAAAGACCATGACTCTGGGCAACATGCGTGACAGTGTGGATAGCTTTGCACAAATGGGATTCCCTAACTGCGGAGGGGTGATAGATGGCACGCATATTCCAATTCTGGCACCAGACCACGTAGCCACTGAGTACATTAATCAGACGGGGTATTTCTCTATGGTTCTCTAGGCGCTTGTGGATCACTGTGGGCATTTCACGGACATTAGCGCAGGCTGCTCCGGAAAGGTGCATGATGCACGCATGTTTTGAAACACTGGCCTGCTCTGGAAGCTGCAAGCAGGGACTTTCTTCCCAGACTAGAAGATCAACATAGGGGGAAGTTAATGCCATGGCTTATGAAGCCATACACGGACCACCTTGACAGCAGCAAAGAGCGGTTCAACAGGCTGAGCAAGTGCAGAATGACTGTTGAATGTGCCTTTGGCCGGTTAAAGGCTCGCTGGTGCTGCCTATATGGGAGGCGGGCCATGGCAGATGACAATATTTCTATGCTTATAGCCGCGTGCTGTATGCTATGTAATATTTATGAAGGGAAGGGTGAAAGCTTCATTCAGGGCTGGACTACTGAGGCTCAGTGCCTGGAGACTGAATTTGAACAGCCAGAGACCAGGGCTATTAGAGGGGCACAGCACGGGGCCATAAGGATCAGAGATGCCTTGAGGCAGCAATTTGAAGCTGAAATCCACTAATATTTGTTGCTATGCGCGGGAGAGCAGTGCTTGTAATGCTAGGAGGTGATGATGCATCGTCTGCACCGATCACAATTAAGGTTTAAGAAAATTGTCTGTTGCTTTGCAGGGCTTTGTTTGCTTTCAATTAATGGAATAAAGATTGCTTGCAAACCAAAACAATTCTTTTATTAAAAAAACAACCACCAGAGGAGAGAGAAACAAAAACAAAACAAAACACATCAGCGCTGCGTGAGATGGGGGAAAAGAAGGTCCCAGGAGGAGGTGGGGTCCCAGGATGGTTAAAGATTTGTGTATGTCCAGGTATCATATGCAACCTTATCCTTTGGAGTACAGTGCAACGGGTACTGTACTTCAGCAGGGCTAAACTGCAGAGGAATGGGTGTTGAGCGCAGTGGGTTGGTGGTGTCTGGGGCACATGGAAAAATGCAACATGCAGCAGCACAGACCTGCTCCTTTGCAGTATTCTTATGAAAATACAGTTTCAAAATATTAAGGAGGGAGGGAAGGGAAGTCACAGGCTTCCTGCTAGTACGTGCCAATTTTAAACCCTTACTACATCACAAGGGGCCCCATTGTTGGCAGTCTTGTGGAGGCACAAAGGATTTGGTTGGGATGGTGTCTGAACTATCTTTAAAGATCTCCTAGTCAAGGATGAGGCACAGCGGAAAGGCAGCATGGGGAAGCTTGTACTCCCAGTGCCCATGCTGTAACTGCTGAGTGGATATGTCAGTCCATGCGGGGGATAGCTCAGTGGTTTGAGAATTGGCCTGCTAAACCCAGGGTTGTGAGTTCAATCCTTGAGGGGGGGCATTTAGGGATCTGGGGCAAAAATCTGTCTGAGGATTGGTCCTGCTTTGAACAGGGGGTTGGACTAGATGACCTCCTGAGGTCCTTGCCAACCCTGATATTCTATGAGCTCTGGACTTAACTAATACTTTCTATAAGAATTGCAAGCACTTACGCCAATGCGAAGCACTTTCTATTATAGACCATGTCCTGCTTCCCCAATATCACAGAAGTTGTTCACCCATACCACAATGCTTTATCTCCCTCACAAAAGGAAGACAGTTTCTCTGTTCACAACCAGAATTTATAAGATCTATGTTTGATTTTTTGAAGCAGTCTTTGCTGTAGTCACCCAGCTAAAAAACTTTAACCACCCTCAAATTCACCTCAATACAGTTAACAATTAAACATCTTAATTACTTGGAAAACCCTCACCGTTCCTCAAATAACTAATTAGCTAAAACAATCAAGAATTTGAATTCCACAAGGACAATTTTCTAGTTTGGTGAAAAACATATATTTCACCTAGTTAAATAGGCAAAAGATTTCTAGAATCTGAAAAGAAACCAGAGTATCACATAGGACTCAAGGCCAAGTTCAGCTGAGTGCTCAGATACAATTGCCTTTGATATACAATAGTGGTTTTCAACCTTTTTTCATTTGCGGACCCCTAAAACATTGCAAATGGAGGTGCAGACCCCTTTGGAAATGTTAGACCGTCTGTGGACCCTCAGGTTGAAAACCACAAATATAGAATAAAGGCAGAATACAAAAATTGCTGCAGTAAACTAGCACACTTAGCATTGGAAGTTTAATTAGCAAAAATTAAAAATATCTGACCAACAAAGAAAAAACTTGCACCACCAAGATACCTACTTCATTTATTTTGAAAGCACATGAGGTGTCTTTGACAAGATGTACTTTCTTTCTGCTTGTAACACATGATCACAGAGGTGACCAAATCAAGGACATCCAAGTTTTCAACAGTACTACCAACCTGGATTTCTTGTAAGCCACACAGTTAACCTGCATCACTGGAAAAGATTAAAAACCACATCCATACTAGACAGCTGAAGGGCTTCCAATGGACAATTACACTAATGAATAACTCCTCACTTACAATGTATTACAGAATTTACAAACAACCTATCATAAGAATAAGTGCCAAACTGGGTGAGACCAAAGGTCCATCCAACCCAATATTCTGTCTCCAATGGTGGCCAGTACCAGAGCTTCAGGGGGAACCTATAAAATAGGGCCGTTGGAGCGATCCACCCCATCTTCTACTCCTAGCTGGCCGAGGTTTAGGGTTGCACTAAGCATGGGATTGCATCCCTGACCATCTTGGCTAATAGCCATTGATGGACCGGACATCCACGAACTTATCCAGTTCTTTTTTGAACCCAATTATATTTTTGATCATCACTACATCCCAAGGCAATGAGTTCCACAAGTCATTCATCACATCTATTTATTTTGTTGTTGTATATGTGACTGAGTTTATCCTTGACTTTTTCTATTGGGATTGGTATGATAAACAAGAAAAATTAAGGTTTAATTTACCAGGCGAGAAAACTAAATCCCTACTTCTTATATATTGAAAATCTGGCAAGGAATCAAGTGGGTAGGTTGCAGGGGAATGGGCAAGAAAGAAGGTAGGTGTAGGGAACAATTAACTCACTTTAAGAAAAATACAAATAGTTTAAGGAACTAGTGTATAATCTGCAAGGTTCTCACCATGCTTAAACATATCTTTCCCCCTAACATTTGAAGGGTAAGTTATGATTTATTTATTCTTCTGGTAGCAATTAAAAAACGTAGATGCCACACAACATGCTTTTCACACATTCTGTATGCTTTTCTACTGTGGTTTCCATGTAATTAAACATCCCAACACTTATTAGTGATAGAGGGAATGTATGAAGGCAATGTGTCACTCATTACTCACTAGCAACATCTCATTTGCAACCATTAATATCTTTAGTAGATTTAATCTGTGTCGGTTTTATGGGCCAATTTCTGAAAGATACCCATTAATGTCAATGGAAGTTACAAATGCTGAGTATTGCAGATGCTTAGCAATTCTCAGCATCTGATCCTACATCAGGGTCAAATCCTACAATCCTCCACCCCACTGACTAGCCAAATTAAATTAATGAAGATTACTCGCATGAGTAAGATTTTGCAGGATTTGGCCCTTAGGCAGAGAATATTGTCTTGGGCAAAGAGAAAATATTCTTTAGAAATAGCAGCTAAAAGGTCATAGTGTAGGATGTTATTTATTGTCAATCAGTCTAAACTTTCTTCCAAGAGAATATGTACCTTATGCTGAACTAGTGTTTGGGGATTAGGAGGAAGTATTGTCCAGGTTCTTTGGCTGGATGTTTAGCTCAGACGTTCTTACTGAAGAATTATCTACTGAAAAACTAACTCATCCTCTGAGACAGAAGATTCAAATACTGAATGACGTTGTCTGAAAGTCAAAATATCACACAATTGAAAAATATATTATCTTTGGAAAAAAGTATAATGAGGATACAACGCAATCTAACAAAAAGATGCTGGGCTTTGAAATTCCAATGCCCAGAAATTAAGTTGGAATCGTTGTAATTCTAAGAGCACACACCTTTCTCAAGCAGAGATTGTCTGTAAGCATAAACAAAAGCCAGGAGGAATCCTTTATCTCCCCTCAATAGGATTAAGTGAAAAATTAGAAAACAAAAACCTCTCGACCAAAAGGTTCAGTTCTGGGGGTTTTTTTTGTCCAGTTAATGGTACAGAAGACTAATTATTATTATTATTAACAACTTGATATAGCATTGAGATAAAGCTGCAAAGTTGTTTTAACTAGATGTAAAAGTTAAAAACTAAAACTATTGATAAGAATGACTTTTTATGCCTAATACTTTCCCCATCAATACTGCCAAATAATTTCACAGATATGAATAAGTGTAAACACAGAAAGCTTTAAGCAACATGATTTAACACACACAGGAAGAGAAAAGAAAATCCAACCCAGAATCCCAAAACTCACAAACCAGAGTATATAATGAAGATACTGAAACATAAGCTCCTTGTTCAAAATAAAGAAGACTGCATTTGTTTTGTACTTTAGAATTTAACAAGAGAAAATGTTTACAGCAGCATGAATCAATGTGCTACAGTAGAGGTAAATCAGTGTCAGCCATGTTATGAAAGAAACTGCAGTGGAAAAAAAAATCTTAGTCTTAATCAAGTCTGGTACACAGAGCCTTGATAAAATCATTGTATAGCAATGTCACTTATTTATTACTAGTGTCTGACTTCTTCCAGATAAACTGCACATAACAACATTGATTATTCCCATCTAAACATACACAGCTAAATTCTCAAAGTCATAACATTAAGAAGGAAATATACTGGATATAACACAAAAGCAACCACTATTGTATGGTACACATCCTAAGGTATGGAGTGAAAAAGATGAATGCACTTACTCAGCATTAAATCCATTCACATGTAAGATCCTCATCTGTTTGACTATTGTGCTTTTACCAGATTCACCAGCACCTAGAAAATGAAAGTAAATCAGTTTCAGAAGGAAGCATGAGTGATGCAGGGGCACAGAAGAATCTTCTCTTCAGGAGCAAAATCCAAAAAATTTGGATTACTCAGTACAAGAGTGAAAAGTGAAAGAAAAAAGTAACTGCCATAGGAAACTGCAGACATGGCTAAAAATAAATGCCCAGTTCCAGTCATGTGTCAGAGCTGAAACTTGGAAGATTTCACCGTCCATTATTTCTAGTGTCAATGTTAAAAGCAGGCTGGTGGTTTGGAGGAAGAGACAGGGGCAACTTTAAGATTTCGGGGAGGTGCGAGGGGAGAGGAAGAGAAGGGGGAAAAAACTGACAAGTTTGAATCTTCTCATTTGATCACCACTTTCTGGTGGAGAGAAAGGTCGAGTCAATGAAATCCATGTGAAGCAAAAGCATTTTTCAGTTAGATCCTCAAAATCTTTGAGCCTTAAATGTAGCTCCTGTCATACAAACACTGAAACTTAACTACTCAATATGCAAGATACGGACATTGTCATCTGAATAAGGAAAGCAGTCCCTCTGACCCCTCCACCCACACATCTGCAGAAAAGCTCCCTCCTCCTACCCCAGTCTGCATCCTGTAAACAGCCTCCCCTATTCTCTCCACATGCTCCAAACCACTCTCACACACACACTCGCTCTATGGGTTGCAGAGAAAGCCCTCTCCAGTCGGCATCCTGTAAGCAGCCCTTCTTGTCTTCTCCGACCCCCCCAGACACCGTGAACTAAAGAAAAAGCCCCCTCACTTTAGTCAGGTTCCCATAAGCAGTACCTTTCTGGTTTCCCCTCACCCTACACACTGAGCCTAGGCTATGGAGAAAGCCCCCTTTCTCCCGTTCCAGTCTGCACATTGTACCCACTCCTCCTGCATACTAAAGGGCTTCAGCAACAAAATCCAATTGAGCCATCCACACATTCAGATCGGTGGCTCTCTGTGCAAAGCAGACAGACATTTTTTGCAGAGTAAAACCCCTTGGCCTAGCGAATTCTACACATAGATGCTCTCTTTAGCATCCTTTGGCTGCTTGTTTTCCCCTGCCATAAGCCTGGGTCTCACTAAGAGAAAGTGCACAAAGACCTTTGCAGGATGGGTTCATGGACGCACAGTTTGTGTTTCTAGGATGCCAGGCCTTCCCTAGCACACACTGACAGCACAAGCCTCCATTTTGAGTCTCACGTTCAAAACTGCATTTTAGTAGTTATATTTCAAAATTTATTTTCTGACAGAGACACTCACCTATGCCTTCCACCATAAAAACTGGATTTTTTCCCCACCCAAGTCCTTAATAGCCCTGCCCTCCTTCCAAACAAGCCTCTTTGGACATTTTGCTGCCCAGATGCCAAAATCTTACACCTCTTTTCTCCCCTTTTCACTAGTTAAGAATATTTTCTGTCCCTAATTTTGCATCTAGGCAACCACCATATCCCCCCACCAACAAAAAGCAACCATGCCATCTGATAAGACAGGGAGCAAAACCAATCAAAACCATGAACATTCCCAGTTAAAGCAGAAACTGGGTCGTCTCCACAACTGGAAATAACCTGTGTATTGCGGTGAATGTTGCATCTGCTGAAATACTTACACACAGAGTAATTAATAACAGAATTTCAACTCTAATGCTGAATTTCCTAATGATTGCCTCAGACAGATTTTAACTTCCAGTTTCTTAATTTCCTTTCCTAGTTTTTTTTTTTTTTTTTTTTTAAAAGAGTAAAAACAGAGTATAAAATGTGTAATTGACATTCCATGGAGTTAGAGGCTTCTTTGGACCAGACAGAACATCATTGGACCAAGTTGAAGCTTTATATATTTCTCTGAATGAGCCCATTCCTAAAATGTGTAGCTCATTATGGAGCAACAGGGACACATAAAGGCCCCAGTAGTGTGAACACTTACATATGTGCTTAACTTTACCACCATGGGTAGTCCTACTGATTTCAGGGAGACTACTCATGATAGTAAAGGTAACCATATATAGGTTTGCTGGACTGGTGCCTAAGAACAGTATTATCAATCCATCAAATGGAATGGAATGTATTTAGGTACTCTGTATTATTCTTAATATTTTCTCAACATACTGTTATTATAATGTTTTGCACTTAGAGTTTCTCATTTATAGATTTCAAGTGCTCTACAAAAGTGGATAAGCATAAGACAATAATACACAGATACAGGCATTTTACCATTAAGGTATGTGTGTTATGGATTCCACATAAATACATGACAGCTACTGTTTTAAATCTCAACATCTGGGTCATTCACATTTAAAAAAAAAAAAACAAAACAAAACCATGAAGAGGTCTTATAACTATTATAAAGAGCCTACAAGTTTTCATTTATAGATATCTGAGCCATTTTTTTGTTACCAAAGACAAAAAAAAGCACATCACAACCAAATGTCTTCTATTTTTTGAAATCTTGTCACTTACTTACACAAACTAATTTGATAAATATTCACACAGGAAAATCCTATACAACAGTCAGTCTCCTGAATCTCTGGCTGAAATTTCCCCCAGACTGAAAGCCAAACTGTACTGAAAAGAGGGGTCTTCTATGGGAATGTTGACAGACCCTTAAGCATAGTGGATGCTACAATAATTCTTCTGGTTATTTCTCCATTTATGCCAAACCTCTTTTCTTCTTCTAAATCGGCACTTTAAAGATTTTACTCATGAGGATATCCAAGTCTGCACCCCTCCTCCCAAAAAAATTAAGATGTCATTTCATAACAGAACTGATTCAGTTTTACCAAGGGCCAACCTCTCCTCCACACAAAAAGAAACCCTTAATACATTCACAAGCAATACACTCTACAGTGACTGAATTTGCTAACATCTCATATTTACATCTCATTTAAAAAACATTTCAGAACAATATGCCTGCCCCGGGTACATTTTTTTGTTAATATTTTTATTGTAATTTTGGGGGCTTCACCACCTTACAAACCTAAACCTGTATTTCTAATTGTATCTGCTCAAAAATACCACATATGCAAATAATCCAGTCTTAGATGTTAAAATATATATATAGATATATATAGATAGATAGATATAGATATATAGGACCAAGCCATAAATGCTCTCCAGAACACATAACATTTAACTAGATTTGCAACAACAAAAAATAATAATGGTAACAAACGTGACAGAGGAGAGAGTACATGTCCATGACCCTTTTAAAAACAGCCTGTTTCCCACCACAACCCTGACATTACACTTCACAGCTTCCCCACCACAGATATTCACACACACCCAATCCCTTTCCTTGTTCCCCTCAAGGATTAACATCCCTTCCCCAACCACTTCCCCATCCTCTTTTCCAACACAGTATCCCCCTTCTTAAAAAATCCATTTCCCCATCTCTCTCCGCCACAGCCTGGCTTGTAAGGTGCATTTCCCTGTTCCCATCCCCTATTTCAAAAAGGGGGAGTTCCTCCAGATCTCCCTTCCCCTCCCACACCCCAACAAGCCCATTTAATTCCTCCTTCCCTCAACAGTAAGTGGGATCAGTAAGTTGCCCTGTAGACATGCTCATCCCTGAATAACTGCTTCCCCCCACCCTTGAGCACCCCACTCCCTGTGCCCTCCCTTACCTATTAGGAGGAGCCTGGGTAGGCCCTGAAGATTTACTAGCTCTTTCTGAACAGCTGTTTTGCCCACATCTCCCTCTAGGCTCAAAGCCCTGATCTTTCCCAGCCCCCAACACCCTTACCTAGACCTATTTATCTTCCCATAGCTGCTTTCCTCCAGACTCCCTCTCTCACCCCCAACTGCTTTCCTGCACCTGGCACCCCTTTACACAGGGTCAGGTCGTCAGGGCCCAATGAGCATCCCTACAGACCCACTTGTACTGTGAGCTTTCCCCAAGGCCTCCTCCGGTCCCTCATTACCCGCAAGAGCCCTTATCTGCTTCTCCCCCTTTCCCTCAACCCAGCCCACTCTTCTCACTGGCTCCCCCAATGGATGGTGCTATAGACCTGTTTCTCCCAGGTCCCCCAAGCCTTCCCCTTTACTCAGTGAAACTGCGCGGCCCTAGAGACCTACTTCCCACAACACCCCCTCCTCCTGGCTAGGGCCACCCCACCTTCCCCAGTGAGAGTAGCCTAGACCTTCCTCCCCACCACTCTCTCCCCTAACTCCAGAGAAAAGAGCCAATGGGTGGGCCCAACACACCTACTTCCCCGGGGCAAGGCCCCTGTCCCCTCAGCCCCCACCCCTAGAGCAGCCGGTGCGTGGTCCAAGTCCTACAGACCTGCTCCCCCAGGCCCCTGTCTCCCAAGCCCCCCCCACCACCACCCTGTAAGAGCAGCCGGTTCGTGGCCCTACAGACCTGCTCCCCCAAGCTTCTGTCTCCCCAACCCCCCCCACCCACCCTGTAAGAGCAGCCGATTCGTAGCCCTACAGACCTGCTCCCCCAGGCCCCTGTCTCCCCAGGCCTCCCCCATCACCCTGTAAGAGCAGCCGGTGCATGGCCCTACAGACCTGCTCCGCCAGGCCCCTGTCTCCCCAGCCCCCCTCACCCTGTAAGAGCAGCCGGTGCGTGGCCCTACAGACCTGCTCCCCCAGGCCCTGTCTCCCCAGGGCCCCCCTCACCATGTAAGAGCAGCTGGTACGTGGCCCTACAGGCCCCTGTCTCCCCAGGCCCCCCCCCCCAGTAAGAACAGCCAGTGCGTGGCCCTACAGACCTGCTCCCCAGGCGCGTCTCCCCAGGGCCCCCCTTACCCAATAAGAGCAGCCGGTGCGTGGCCCTATAGACCTGCTTGTCCTTCTGCAGCTGCTTCTCGATTTTCTTGTTGGCTTCTCGCTGCGCCTTCTCCTCGTTGCGCTGATCCTCGGTCTTGCTGTTCCCTAAACAGCCCATCTTGGGGAGGGGGCGGCCGGGGGGACCAGGGGAAGGGAGCAAGAGGCGGCTGGGGCTGCTGGGGGGAGGGAGGGAAGGGAGGGAGACACTCTCCCGGGCTCCCTTCTTCTTCC